TTTAGGTAATGGCAATAACATATAAGGCGAGTAATGGGCTGTTTGCTAAGTGCACCATGGAGACTGCGTCAAACATAATTTTTATTTCCGTATTCCATATTAACTTATGTTTCAAGTGTTTTATTTTAAGAACTTGATGATAATGTTTTCCTTTTATTCATAATTTAATTTTTAATAGTAATTGATTCATTTTGTTTTCTTTTGTGGGATCCAACGTAAAGGTTTCTAACTATTTTGTAAGTTATGATATTTTTGCTACGGCGTTTTTATTTTTTTATTTTTATTTTTTTGAATTAAAAATGTTGAATGAATGCATGTAGTAACGTCCCTAGTTAGTCTAAGTCCAAAAAGTCGGGTTGTTACAGTTAATATCATAGCCCAAGTAATGGTCTTGTAGACTTACTTACATTATAAGTATTAATGTGTCACCATGGCCACACACGCAACACCTTGTCACTGTCAGGTATGAGATGTTTTAAGATTATTACTATTTTGTTTTAAAAGCAAAGTATAACATGCATAAAAAGTAGGCAAGACTTTGTTGTGTTGTGATAAGTTTGATGCTTTATGGTTGTGACGTTAGGCTAAATTGAACTTTGTTATGGTTATTAGATTATGCATCCATGTAGAAGAAGGTTTGTGAGACGAGATGGGCTAGGTAGAGATGTTGACCCTGAGATAGTAGAACCGACGATGATTAACAAAACATCAAGTCAGACGGAGATTCCTCCAGTGGTTCAAACTCATGGTCGGATGAAGAATCCACCAGTGGGTCAAACTTCTGGACAGTCAGAGCCTACTAGCTTCCTTGATGATGGAGACCTTCTAGACACTCGTTCAAACTGCAGTTTCTAACTAAATGGCTCAACTGGCTCAGGATCGAGAGATCATGTCAATAGAAGCTAAATATCTGCAAGATTTTAAGAAGTACGACCCTCGCTCTTTTGACAGACTATATATAGATTGGACGATAGCATAATCTTGGGTGTTCTCGACAGAGACTATCTTTCGTTATATGAGATGTTTGAAGGAAAAGTACAATGTGCAGTCTTTATGCTAAAAGATGATGCCCTTTTGTGGTGRGAGTTTGCAAAGAGGTCTATTGATTTGAGTGGAAGCCCAGTTACACGGTTACASTATGATAACTCTCCAAAAGGGAGTTATTCGAATTATTATTTGGGAAGTTTTGTGCAAATTATTGTTAATGTGTGTCTATTTTAGCTCTCAAATATCATGAATGATATTAGATCGAATTATGAGCTAATCCCATGTCTTCAATGCTTTGGCCTAAAATAGTGTTGCATTCTCCTATTATTGGCTTTTATGTGCAGGTTTGGAAATTGAAGATAAGGTCATGAAGAAAGCGCTGAACCCAGAAAGGAGTTGGCGAAGCATGCTGAAGACAGAGCGTAAAGAAGCTGGAGCATGGATTTAGAGCGCGGTAACTATCCCACACGGGAATATTTTACCATACCCGTACAGTTACCAGTTGGGTGCCCTAAAATTGGGACCCGATATAAAAGGGATAAGATGACCTAGCTGACACACACAAATCCCAATAGATAACATTCTTTGCGTTGGAAAAGACAAGGGAGAGGAATCTCACCATTTTCGGAAGGAGAGCTGACGATAGGGAAGAGCTTCTACTGCTATTGCGTGCCGCTGTCTCCCTCTACGTTTTTCTCTCTTTCTCTAGAATAGGTTGTATCTTTTCTTTACCCATTTCGTTTTCCCCTTCCCCCACGAACTAAATCTCATTTTTGGGAAAAGTTAATTCCTGTAACTATTGAACAATCGAAACTCTAGCTGTCTTTATTTCGCTATTAAATAGAATTGCGCACATTTCTTTTATCTTACTGAACATTGTTGCCACCTTGCTTAGTATGCTAGTTTCTGTATGACCCGGAAAGACTTATGGTTAGTTGACTTGCTTTATTTGTGATTAGCTACTTTTCTTTAGTAGGTTTGTGGATCCTCAGGAATGAGGTCCCCTAATCATGCTTAAAACTTGTGTTTATTGTTTGGGTATCTAGCAGCGGAAGTTGTAGGTATTCATAGTTGGGTGTCTCGGAAGGGAACCGTGTCAAGTTGAGCAATAGTGAGTGATTTCATGCTAGAGTAGAGGTTGTGATTTAGTGAAAGCATGTTAAATCTCCCCTACTTCTCCACATATGTTAAACCCTTCTTTTTTTTTGATGTTYTATGCTGAAGTTTTTCCTTATTATCAACATTTAAAAGTGTGTTCACTGTTGGGTTTATTTATCGCTTTTGTTTATAATATTTTCTTTTTCTGTTTGTACACCAACAACGCTATTCTATTATTTTCTCGCATTTTCTGGTATCTTCAAGCATAGTTTAAAATATTACCCTAAGTCCCTATGGATTCAACCTCGTTCKTACTACAATCRACAGATATAGTGTACACTTGCACTTGTATCCATCACGGTTGTGAGGACGCAACAAGTTTTTTGCGCCGTTGCTGGGGACTTAGTTGTTTTTATTTTAGACCATAGCATTTGAGGATACRAAGCTTAATTGAATTTTCTCTTTTTCACTTTGTTGTGTGGTTGTAGGTGTATGAACGATTTCGAAAGCATGGAGAATATTATTGATCACGAGATAGAGCATACATTCCATAAAAACCGAAGAGAACCTAAGCTGCAGCAAATATGAATCCACTTAACTCACCTCAGCGCTAGCCTATTCCACCAAATATGACAATTCCATGGACATGCTACCAAGGACCTACATTCGCATATTGTCGCAACGTGATCACGATGCGGAGCGGCTGACGTCCTCTTTTAAGGGTCTCTTAAAATAAAAGATTTTGGAATCACCACCAATCACGTTGAAGGTGTGATTGGTCACCCAATTAGAAGAAAAGTAAATCGGTCTACGCAAATCAAATTGAGTTTGGGAATCATTTGTGTATAGGGAAGGTATTAGCACCCTACAACACCCGCAAAAATGTATACCAGTATTTTATTTTTTATTATCCAATTTATTAAATTATTAAAGGTCCACAAAAGTTTATTTATATTATTTTTAAATGTCCAATGTTTATTAATCCACATTTTAGAAATAAAACACCGGTTAATAATAATGGGTGACATAAATGTCATTCAAAATATGGAAAATTTATCTTTGAGAGAAATTTCAAGTGTTTAAGGAATTTAACCAATTCCAAAAGTGAACACTACTCAATCTATTTTATTTTTTAGAAAACTTGAGAGTGGTTTTTTAAAATTTCATTTTTAAATTGTTTAATGAAAATTTGCTATTAATTATTGAAACTCATTTTAAAAGGGAAATTTCATGTATTTATGGAATTTATAGAAAGAACCCATAAAGAAAACACTACTTTTCTCCCGAGAACTTTTATGTATTTGTGAATTTTTGAAAGATCTACAAAGAGAGCACTACTAATTCTCAAATTTAATTTTTGTTGTTTGTTAAAAAATTGGTTTTCAGAATTTTGTAAAATTAATTTTTGGGAGGAATTTCATGTATTTATGGGATTTTAAAAAAAATCCATAAAGAGAACACTACTCAGCCTCRAAAATTAAGTATTTATTTTCTCCAATTTGTTTTGAAATTATAGTTGATTAATTTTCTTTTTTTTTTGACATTTTATGTTTAGATACATGGAATTTCATGGATGTAAGGAATATAAAAGTATATATAACAATAAATTACATAGCATCATGATTTTAATTCCTATAAAATAATAATTAACAAGAACATAAATTAGATCTTCCATGTTATCTAATAATAAAAAAATTAAATGAAACTAACAGTAAACATGTAGTCCAAAGTGGAGAAGATACAGTAATTAATATATGAAATTGAAATTATTGAATGCCTAATAACATATATATTCTACAAAATAAGAGTGCAGCAAAATCACATTCTCTCCTATTTTAATTTAAAAATAATTATTAAATAAAATAACAGGGAAAGAGAATTTCAAACCTTCCAGCTGCAGATGTTGAGCCTGAGAGAATTTTGGGAATGAAGACTATATTGGGAGAGGTGATGAAAGGGAGATTTTAGAAACGACCTCGTAAGAGTAGAGTTTTCTTTAGAGGTAGGGAGAGATTTTTTTAGAGAAATACCCTATGTGAAAAATGGAGATTCTTGTAGGTGATGATAGAGATTTTGGAGAGAATCCTTATGTATTGAAGAGAGAGAAAAATAAAAAAGGATAAAAAGAGATTTTTGGGAAGAATGCCTCTGCAAAAAGTGGAGATTCTGTAGAGAAGGTGAGCAGTAGATTTTAATCTTTCATAGAATTTACATACGACCTCCCCTCATTTGTTTCGTGTATATTTCTTCTCCCCCTTTGTTCCGTATGTGTTTCCTCCCATTTWATAATAAAAATCAATCCTTATATAGGGAAGATGAAACTTAGAAAGAAAGGAATGTGAGATGTACGTGTGAGAGAAAAAGAGAAAGATTAGTGGAATTGAGGGAGAATGTGGTGGAGGAAGAAAAATAGTTGGGACGAGTGAAAATGTGAGAGAGAAGAAGATAATGTTGGGAGAAAGGGGGAAGTTACATAGAATTTGAAGAGTGAGGGAGAGGTAASGAGAGAAAAAGGGAAGTGAGAAAAATATTAAGAGAAATTGAAGAGAACTATTTTGTATTTTAAAAAATTTTAGTTTTTATTTTCAATTTTCGTTCCTAAATCCATAGTTTCAATTTCAATTTATTATTATTTTAGTTTTTGTTATTTTGTTTGTATTTTTAATAACAAATACCAAATACCGCACAACAAATATCAAATAAAATTAAAATGACTTGGACGAAATACGGTATCTACTCATATGAAGTTTTTTATGGGAGTTTGCGATTCATTTAAGGTTGAGGGATGTAGCAAAGAAGTGCTACGACTTAAGTTGTTCCCCTATTAGCTGAGAGACGAAGCAAAGACTTGGTTGAAGTTATTATCTTCCTAGTCGATCACAAGCTGGAACGACTTGGCAGATAAATTTTTTATAATGTACTCCCCACCAAGCAAGAATGCCAAATACAAAAGTGAGATTAACAATTTTCAACAATTTGCTGGGGAGTCAGTTAGTGAGTCATGGGAGCATTTCAAAAGACTTCTGCAAAAATGCCCTCACCACGGGATCCCAAGATGCATTCAGATTGAGACATACTACAATGGATTGGACGACGCCACGCGCTTGGTCATTGATGCGTCAGCAAATGGAGTATTGCCAGCAAAACTTATGCTGAAGCATTCAATATCTTAGAGAGGATATCATCAGACAACCATTCATGATCTGATCCTACAGCTATTCAGAGTAAAGAAGGCAAGGGATTGAATGAATCAGAATCTTTCACTGCATTAAATTTAAAGATTGAGAATCTGACGGATTTGGTTATGAGGAGTATGACGCAGCAAAATGCAGTGCGAGCATCTGCTGCCAAAGCAAATGTTAGCAACATCCAAGGAATTTTCTGTTCTTCTTGCAAGGGAGAGCATTATTTCAATGATTGCCCTGGAAACACAGCTTCGGTATTTTACTTGAGGAATTCTTAGAACAACAGAAACAAACTGTATTCCAATACATATAATCCAAGCTGGAGGAACCATCACAACTTTAGTTGGAGCGAAAATTAGGGAGGAAATAATGCTAGAACATCCAATGCTCCAGCATATCAGCAAAAAGGAAACTATCCCCCAGAATTTGCTAACCAAGGTCAGGGAGTAGRACCAAGGCCACCTGAAGGATCATTTGGATCTTTGGAGAATCTGATGAAGCAGTATATGGAAAAGAATGATGCCACAGTACAAAGTCAAGCAGCATCACTAAGGAACCTGGAAATGCAAGTGGGTAAGTTAGCAACATATTCGAAAAGTAGGCCCTACGGAGCACTATCGAGTGACATTAAACTACACTCAAGTTCAGAGACAACAACCTAACCGACATCAAGACCTTAATTATGAAAAATAATATGCGGTACTTGTGGGAAACGTCATTGGGGGCGATGTTTGTCAAGAACCATAGTATGTTTTAAATATAGCAAGAAAGGGATGTGGCGTTAAAAGAAATACTACAGGTGGTGMAAACCAACCCTTGAACTCCAACCAGGCAACTACAAGAAATTCAACTTAAAAATAGGGTAAGGTGTTCACCAATACACGTCAAGAAGGTGAGAACTCAAATGCTAGTGACAGGTATGCTACTTATTATTGGTCACTATGTGTTGGTATTGTTTGATTCAATAACTATACACACTCTTTTATATCGGCCTCATTTGTGAATCGAGCTAAGTCAGAGTTGGAACTGTTAGTGTAYGTATTGTCAGTTTCCACCTTGCAAGAGTGATTATGTTAGCTAGTGAGACAGTAAAAGCTTGTCAGGGGTTCTACGTACAACAATGTGTTGAACTACTTCAACAAGTCTGCGTGTAAGATATCCAGCATCTTGGTGTYGGATCGCTTATTGGATATGACACTAACAGTCCTCGATATGAGTGATTTTGATGTTATTCTTGGTATATAATGGTTGTCTGCAAATCATGCCAACATTTATTGTTATCCTAAAGAAGTCATTTTTAAACCACCATCAAGAATGAGATTTAAATTTAAGATATCCCAAACTAAGGTCATTCCTAAAGTGGTATCAACATTAAAAAAGYGAAGAAGTTGATCCATCAAGGAGTATGAGGCTTTTTGGCTAGTATAGTTGACATTAGATGTACTACGGGTACTGAAGCTACAATTACGACAACTTTAGTGCCCGTAGTTAGGGAATTCATAGATGTGTTCCCTAAGGATCTTTTAGGATTAGCACCAGTTTAAGAGGTGGATTTCAGCATGGAGCTCGAGCTGGGGACAACTCCCATCTCTAAGGCTCCATATAGAATGGCCCTACCAAATTTGAAAGAGCTTAAGTCACAAATATAGGAGTTACTGAGCAAAGGCTTTATACGCCCTAGTCTTTAGCCTTGGGGTGCACCAATTTTGTTCGTGAAGAAGAAATATCGGTCCATGAGACTATGTATCGATTATCGAGAGCTGAACAAGGTGACAATAAAGAATAAGTATTCTTTACCTTGGATTGGTGATCTCTTCAATAAACTTTAGGCAGCTATTGTATTTTTTAAGATCGACTTGTAGTTAGGATAGCACCAGTTGAGAATAAAAGATGAAGATATCCCCAAAACAGCTTTCAAGTCTAAGTATGAGCATTATGAATTGATTATAATGTCTTTTGGACTGACGAATGCACCAACAGTTTTGATGAACTTAATGAATAGAGTGTTTAAGGAGTTCCTTGACACCTTTGTGATTATTTTTTTTTATAATATTTTAGTATATTCTAAAACAAACACCAAGCATGAGGAACTCCTCTCACCTTAAGAGAGTGTTGACAACTCTAAGAGTGAATAAGTTATATGCTAAATTCTCTAAATGTGAATTCTGACTGCAACATTCTTAGGATACATGGTGTCAAAAGACGGAGTCTCAATAGATCCAACAGAGGTGGAAGCAGTGACCAATCAACATCGTCCATCTACTGTCAGTGAGGTACGTAGTTTTTTGGGACTGACAGGTTATTGCCATCGATTTGTGCAGGATTTCTCCARCATAGCCACATCCTATCTCAATTAACTTGAAAGGGCAACTCGTTTGTTTGGAATAAAGCTTGCGAATTGAGTTTCTAGGAACTCAACCAAAGGCTGGTTTCAACAGTAGTGCTTCTTGTGCCGTATGGAACAAGAGATTTCGTTATTTATAGTAGTGATGCATCTAAGAAGGGCTAGGTTGTGTTTTGATGCAACATGGTAAAGTTAATTGCTTATGCCTCTCATCAGTAAAAGAACCACGCACTAAATTATCCGACCTATGATTTGGAATTAACAGAAGTGGTATTTACTTTGAAAATTTGGAGGTACTACCTATATAGAGAGAAAATTCAAATCTTTATAGGCCATAAGAGATTCAAGTACTTTTTCACTTAGAATGAGTTAAAAATGAGACAACGAAGGTGGYTTGAGTTAGTGAAAGATTGTGACTATGAGATTTTATAGCATARGTGGAGCAAATGTAGTGGCAGATGCATTACGTAGGAAGACGACCCACACATCAACCTTGATCATCACTCTAAYGTATATACTTAGTGATTTGGAACGTGTAGAGATACTAGTTGCAGTGGGTGAGGTTACAGTTGGTGTAGGGATCAATTAAGCCAACCTTGAGACAAAGAATTATTGACGCTCAATAGGGAGATCCAAACYGTGTTAATAATTTCCATAAAGTAGATTCAGGGCAAATGAATGAGTTCTCCATATCCTCAAACTTTGGACTTTTGTATCAATAACGCTTATGTGTGCCTAAAGATGTCGACCTCAAGAATGAGTTATTGATTGATGRCTCACAATTCCCCATTTTTGATACATCCTAGTGATAACTCTCAAAATAGAGAGTTATTTGGGTATAATGTTGGTATAAATTAGCTAAAGATAGCATCCCTTGCACCCTTAGTCACTGTTTTTGTGCTAAAAAGATCATAAACACTAGCTTTCTGCACTGTAGTATTGTCAATTGCAATCGAGCTAATTTTGGTGCATTTTGCTACAGCTTTGACGATGCTACAGCATCAGATCCAAATTCAGAAAGCAGCAGAAAACGACAAGCTGACAGTGAAAGAACTGCCCAACGAGATTTACCGCAGTAATTGGAAGTGTTAACCAAAAGTGAGAGCTGGGTTCCTGTTGGAATTTTCTCTACCTTTAAAAAGATTAGAGACTCGTGCAAGCGCACACGGTCACAAGTAATACTCGGAAGTAATCCAAAGTCGAATCCTCAGGGACTTGTTGCTTTTCAAAATCAAGTAATGCAGTGAAATGGTTCAAATATGCAATTGTGATTTAGGAAGAAAATAATGGTGAAATGTTGTTGTTTGGGGTTTTAACTATCAAGCAATTTAATGAAACTCAACCTCCTTGTTTCCTACCTTAGTTTTGATGCAAAACATGGAAAACACACTATGTTGGGAAAATGCACCAGGCGCAATTCCTGACTTTTCTTGGGATTTGAGTTCTACTCTTTCACTATCGCTTTTGGTTGCTGCAGAGGCTAGGGTAACCTACAATCATATTCGTATGTGTGATTACAATCCTAGAGAATATCTACCAACTCATTTGCATTATGGGTCAGAGGGCCTATTCCTAGGACCATATTTTATACGCTTATTCCTAAGTCACATCCCATATTGATTTCCTATTATTTTACCTAACTCACCTTTCCCAAGGTTGGGCTTTAGTGTATAAATTGTAACGCTCCAGGAATTTCACCATTTCCAAACATGGACCGTTACTAAGCCTACCTAAAATTTTCACATAAACAAGAGAATTTTCTTCACAACAATACTAAGCAATAGAACTACCACGCTTCCGCTGCGCTACTCTGATTTTCAACACTCACGAGAGCTTGAACAATTAGAACAACAACACTAAAGTTTTAAGAGAAACTCAAATCCTATACAGATAAACCATTTAATACCGACTTCACGTTAACCAAACCCTTCAAGGAAACCTTTACTAACTATAAACCATCCACTAAATGAATTTTAACATCTCGAATGGCAATGAAGCAAAAACTAATTCAAGTACGAACAACTTAAACGAATGTATTCATAAATATCCTATGCAGATTACAATCCCGTAGTTCAAGAGGCTAACAAAGTTAATGCTCTAAAAGAATAATGAATCGGCACCCTTACAATCATCCTTTAGACAATAAAACTAAACAAAACCAACCACTACCAACTCAACTACAAGATTAAATGRCCACAAATATCCTAACTAAAAGAAATTAATTTCACGCAGCATAGCTAATGGTCTTTCCGTTCAAGCCTCCTCCTCGCCATCACCATCCCAAGAGCTAGCTCGATACCTGMAAACTGGAGGGGAAAAAGAGGTATGAGTACAACCACAGTACTCAGTAARCAGCCCTTATCTGAAGGGTCACGCACAAACAACATACTTATCAAGGAACAACGTATCATGCTTATTAAAGAATCAACACACACACATCATGCTCAACCAAATCATGAAACATTCATTGTCATGCTTTTCATCACATTATGCATTCGAACATAGACACATTCTATAAAATTCGGTGACAACCACAACCAGGGACACATTAACTACCAACCTCTAATCTCCTTAACATCTCAAGTACCTTTACGCTTATCACAGCTACTCTAGCCTTCCACAGTTAACTCCTTCGAGTAGAGTCGGCCCCTGACCATTTATACTCAGAGCCCCGACCTTGCAGCATCGGCCCTCGACCATTTATACCCGAGGCCTCGATGACTTCACCGTCTATTGGCCCTTGACCATTTGTACCCAAGGCCCCAATAGTTCACCTTTCAAAAGACTCCTCGCATCGACCCCCGACCATTTATACCCGAGGCCTCGATACCCAATTAGTGACGTATCAGCCCTCGACCATTTATACCCGAGGCCCTGACACTCACCCATTCACTTCGTAACTTTCATAACTCCACATATCATTTCTAGCCTCCAACTAGGATTTCAGTATTACTTYCCTAATAACACCAACCACCACAAAGCCCAACAACAACACAACTACTAGTAAGATTTCAATGCATCACAGGTCTCAATAACACAAAGTTTGACAACAACCAACCTGCTCACAGCATAGCGCACACAAAGCTTCAACAAACAACCCTATGACATTCTTCACATAACATGCTTTTCACAACATAACAAATCCTAATCACTTCCAACCAACCATACAATATCAGTAAGTTCCTAAAGTTGCAGACAACAAACATGAATACCAGTCACATACATATCCAATATATAAAATAACCGCAAGTTACAATAACAGCATCGACCTCACAAACCTGTCCAACAATTAAAATAATAAGAGAAACATGTTTATAATGTAAAATCAGCAAGAACAATTTCTATTAACGCACATCAACGCACACACCCGCCCCCGTGCTACTTACTTTGTTATGTCCCAAAATTCTCATAAGAGTCCTACTTGCTACTACGCCATGCCTCATGCATCAGCAATCTCATAACAGTCCAATATGCGATACACCAAAATGATCATATGTAAAAGCCAATCAATCCAAAATAGTCCAACATGATCCAACAGCTCCAGCAGGCATCGTTCACAGAAAAAGCACAATCAACCACTTAACCAAAGTATAATTGATAAATACCCAGCATACATCAAACACAACTGATTTCTCATAAATATTCAATACGCTTTCGAAACAACAGATTATAGTACAGGTATACAAATTTCATCATGAAAACCAATTAGAACATAATAGCAATTCAATCATAGTCATCCAGGATTACCTGGCTACAATTTGTTCACACAACCACATACTTTTCCCAAGATATATCAACAGTTTTATCAACAATGACGTTTACTAAATGATAACAACGACAAGCGACATGCAAGTATCACACATGGGCACACGAGCAAGCAACCATATCATATCAGCTCACAACAACCAATCCCTCCAGTAAGAAACTACTTACAACCATTAGCCAATATTCATAAGACACAATTAACTTACATATTAATAAATAATAAACACACCGAAAGCACCACACAATTCATACATATTCAATCAACAAACATCCYCCAAGTAAGAACTACTTACAACAAAGTTCTAATGCGCTACCAAGTTCACCGAAGGGTTCCTAAATCCAAAAGCAAACCAAACTTGATTAGAATTCATGTTAGAAACACTTAGTTTGCAATGAAGTGAGTTTAGATGATCCGTTACCTACTATCTCACCATAAAACCTCTTGGGTAAGGAGTGAGTCGACGCCAAGGAGGCTTGAGCTTCCAAATCCGGGTCCGAGAAGCTTCGAGCTTGCTGGTTCGATACCGAAAAGAAATGGGTAACTTAGTTCTAGCTCCGAACAAGGATGGGTATCACAAATCGAGCTTCAATTTGGTATGGGTAACTGTCAAAATGCACC